CCCGGCATGAGGATGTGGAGTCCCTGGGTGGCCTTTGGTGCCCATAGGTCCTGGGGTATTATTTTCTCCTCTTCAGATCAGTTTCTGTCTTATCCCCTTTGACCCTCATGACAACCTAGAAGACCACTAAAACGTGTTGCGTGTTATGGCCTTCATCTTCCAGATTTGGGAACCTGAAGCCCAGAGAAATAAAGTCTCATTGTTGGTCTTTTCGGAGGCCTGGAAAACTGTGTGCTTTTGAAGGGAATCTTGCAGCCATGAGAAACTGTCAGGAGAGCTTTTCCAAGAGGTTTTCTTGGGCAGTGGCTTCCTGTAGCTAATACAGATTTTTAGTTTTCTTAGTATGTTCAGAGTGGGCCTGGCCTGGAGGTGGCTTAGGAGCCTGAGGTGCTCGGATTCACCCCTGAGCGCTGGGCTGTGATCCCAGCCCTCTGTGTACGTGAACTCCAGTGATCCTCAAATCAGCTGTCTGAGGTGGGCATTGCTATCAATCCCCATTTCACAGATGAGGAACTGAGGCTCCGAGAGATTAAGCATCTTTTCCCAGCCACGTGGGTGGTCAGTGGAGGAGCCAGCATCAGACCCATCAGCCTGTTCTACAGTCTGCCTTGCCAAGCGGGGTGGCCCCTGTCTTGCTCTCCAGAAGCTTTCATTTTCAGAAGGCAAGATAAATGAACCTCTTCCCAGGCCTTGAGCCAGTTTTTACTATTTTGGGAACTTGGGCAGGGGTGGTCTGTCCAGAAACAAACCCTGTCACACGTGTCTGTTCCATTCTATGTACGTTACAACCCCTGCGTTGGGGCATCCAAAGGTAAGTAGGGCATGGTTCTTAGCCCTGGGTCTTCCGATGAGATGATGTATCACGGAGAGAGGTAAGAGTAAAAGGCCGTGCTGGGTCTGTGGAAGGCTTGATCTTACTGGGGGGGATCACAGAAGGCCCCATGGACGAAGTAGTGTTTGAGGTGGGCTTAGAAGGGTGATTGGAAGTGCCTTAGGCTGACATGGAAGGGGAGACTGAGGCAGGCTGGGTGAGATGCCAGGATCTCGTGAGCAGTGGTCCAGGAGCATGACAGTGAGCAGGGGAGGAAGCTCACTGGGCTCTCACAGGAGAGGAGGAGTGAGGGCAAGGCTTTTTTGGGGCAGTGGGCTGAACAGGGAAAGGGACGGGAGGAGGAGAAGCTTCTGGGTTAGAGGGAAGGAGAGGTGAGCAGTTGGACGTCATTGTCCTGGGAGGGTAGTATCTGGAAACCCCACAGGGTGAGGGGAGCCGAGGGGTGTCCTCAGTTCCTGAGGGATGTGGTGTGGTGTGCGGGTCTCAGGGGACTGCTCACAACTCAGTGGGGAGCCCCTAGGGGAGATGGGGTTGGGGGAGGGATTTAGATGGATGGTGGCTGAAGCCTTGGACATGGGTCACCTCTGGTGGGGAAGTGGCCCCCTGGGGAGCGTGGTGGTTGCTCGTCAGGGGCCTTCCTTCTCCAGTGGGGTGGGTGGAGGAGGGCCAAGGATAGATGGCCCTGGGCTGCCATGCCCTTGGGCGAGGGTGAGAAATCGTGAAGGAGTCACAGTCTTTCTTGCCCTTTCTTAACTCCTCTCCCTGCCTTGGAGTCAGACAGACTGGGATAGAATCCGAGTTCTTCCTCTTCACAGCTCTGTAGACTCGGGTACATGACTCTGAGACCCAGTCCTCACGTCTGCAGAAGGGGAAGGACTGTGTCTTCCTTGCGAGGGACTGTGAGGATTAAAGTAGGTGAATGGAGGACAGCCTGGCCTGGGGTAAATAGCCAGTAAGTCAGAGCTACTCTCATAATTGGTATGATTTTCCCGGAGGACCACCTCCCTTCTTCTGGCCCAGTGGGGGCAGGGCCCGCCTGTCTTACCGCTTCGCTCCGGGGCCTCCAGCCTGAGGCCCACTCACACGGGCACAGCGGCAGCCAGCTTCGCCCTGGCCCTCTGGCCCCCATGGGGCCACCGGCTGTGCCCTCCAGGAGCTCCCTCACCAAGGTGGGGCCCAGCTGGCATCTGGGAGGGCTGTGGGGAGCCAGCCAGTTGCGTGTGTGCAAGTGTGTGGCTGGTCAGATCATCAGGCCCAAGTGCACAGCCCTCCTGTTTGTGCGGAAGAGATGGGGGTGATTTTTGAGAAGCCAGAGAGGCCTCTGATTTGCCTCTTCTGGCAAGAAGAGCCCAGACACCTGGTGTGGGTCTGACAGCCCCCCCCCCCCCCCCGCCAACTCCCGCCACATGCACACACACACCCTCACGCCTGCTCTCTCTGGAGCCCTCTCCCTCTGTTTCACAGCCTGCCCACACTCCTCGCTGGCAAAGCCCCTCAAATGCTCACTTTGGGGGCTGGTAGCTGTCGCCTCAGAATCAGGACCTGGGAGCGTTACTTAGAAATTGTGCAGGAGTCGAGGAGGCTTCTGTGAGGCTGAGATGATAATTACGCTATTTAAAGCCGGCCCCGGAGCCAGAAGGAGCCAGGTGTCCCCGCCTGGCTGGCCTTGAGCTCCCTTCTGCTCTCCTCGATGCACCGGCGGGACCAGGGCGGGGGGTTCCTTCTGCTCTCCTTGCTGCACCGGCCGGGGCTGGGGCAGAGGGTCTCGGGCAGCCGTCTTGGGGCATCGAGCCTGGCAGCACCCTCTGGGCTCATCCACAGCCTGCTCTCCACGATGCCATTTCACAAGGGGAAGCACAGTGGCACCCGGCTGGGAGGGAGGCTGGGAAAAAGCCTTGCTTACACAGCCAGCTTCTCTGTTGCCAGAATGACCAGAAGGATTTGAGGAGGCCAAGTTGGACCAAATAGCTAGCACATCACAGTGGGCGGCCCGAGGTCTGTTCTCCCTTGCTGAGAACTTCCAAGCCCTTTCCACAGGCCCGCCTTTGCACACCACCGATGGTCCTTCACACACCCCTGCAATCCTGCGCTGCTTTCTGTTTATCTGTGATCTCCTCCCTGGAGGGTGGGCAAAACAAGGGTCGTGGGTTCCATCTGACAGCAGAGTTCTCAGTAGGCGGTGACAAGCCCAAGGTCATCCCGCTGATCTGTGGCAGAACCACAGCCTCGCTGTCCAGAGTCCCAGCTCTGGGCTCCCTCCTCTCCACTACCCTGCAGGATGCTCGGGATCTGTTGGGCTGAGGCGGCTCCTGGACCCCTGAGCTCCTGAGCACACCATGGCTCTTCTCCAAAGGACAGATTCTGCCCCCAGGAGCCCATTTCCCAGCCTAGCCTTCCCTCCTGCTCTCTCATTTTTTTCTTGGAGTGGGGTGAGGGCGTGGGAGGGAATGACGGCCCGGCCGCTTGTGAGCTTGGAGAGGTCTGGGGGTGGGGGGGCGGTATCATGGCTTTCAGCCTCAGAGATCAGAGCATTCAGGGTGGATGGGAGAACTGGGGGAATGGCTGTTATCAGCATCAGTGAGTTGTCAGTCCTGGCAAGACTGGGCTGGCAGCCCGGTCCTGTCCACCCCCTGCTGCTCTGTGGGGTGGGGACGTTAAGGTGTGGGGGGGGTGCAGACCAGGGAGCTACTTTTCACCTCTGTGATTTGCTGGGACACTGCCCTCCACAGTGGCTGTTCAGCTTGGGGAAAGGATCCCCTGGGTTAGTGTCAATGTCCAGTTTGTGTCGAGAGCAGGTGTGTGGCCACATGCTTAGGTCCCAGGTCCCTAGGTTTCTGCGTCTGCCTATGTGTGTGTGTGGGCACACCTCCGTGCCAGCCTGAAAGCCCAGGCCCCCTGGGAAGGGCTGTGGGGGTGAGCTCAGGAGTTCTCAAGCTGGTGCTCTAGCTTGTGTCCCATCCAGGCTCACATTCCTCCCCAGCCTCCCTCTTGCTGCTTCCATTTCTGCCTAGATCCCGAGTACTTGGTGGGGGGTGGGGTGGCGGGGGAGATGACAGTCAGGTTCAGGTGGAAGGGGTGTGGCCCTTCTATGGTTGCCCTGCTGGGCTCAGCCCTGCCACAGGCTGGGGGCTGCCCAGGGTCTGACTTCTCATGTTGGGTCCTGACACCTCCTGTCTCTTCCCTGACCGTCCCAATCTGCCTGTCGCCCAAGCTGGCCACCTAAGGGGTAGGCGAGACGCTGTCCCCATGTCTCCCAAATGGGGAGGTTAGGGTAGGGAGGAAAGCACCATATATGGAGCGTCTCCTGTGTGCCTAGGGCTGTGCTGGCTGCCTCCCATCTTGTTTCTCATGCAGCAGGAGCTCTGAAGACAGCTTCCTCTGAAAACCGACTAAAGTGGTGGTCTTCCAGCAGCGGGCAGGGCACCTGGAAGCCCATGACGGGCAGAGAAATCCCCAGCTGCAGCCACCTTCCCTAGCACACCTTCCTTTGCTCTGACCACTGGGCTTCCCTGTGCCGGGCTCCAGGGGTTCCTGGAGTCAGGCTGTGCACACGCTAACTGCCCTGGCTGGTGATGGCTGTAGACAATTACACGGAAGGAGAAGATGTCTAGCCATGAGCCGGGGCCCGTACACATCAGGAAAGTGACACCCCGTACCCCCCGCATGACCCCGGGTCCCTTCACCTCATTCAGGTCTTGCTCCGCTGACACGGAGGTGGTGGGCCACAAATTCAGTGTGGCAGCCTGCTGTCTGCCTGGTTTCAGGAGTGGGGATGACTTGAACCAGAGCCTCTTTCCCAAATGATGGGCATGGAGCCGGTCAGGGCTGTCTGCCACCCCTGTGCCCAGCCTGTGCCTTTCCAAGGAACCAGACTGTGTCAGTGGTCTGGGTAGGAGCTGCCCTGCCCCTGTTTCCTGTGACCCTAGTGCTCCCCTGCCCATGAAGAGCCCTTTAACCCCTTCTGTGCTTACCTTGGCCTAAGTGCGGGGGAGAAGGCTATGGTGAGGCCAGAGACCCTATCCCCCCACTCTTCTCTCCCACCCCCGGGTCTCAGGAGGACTCTGGCCAGCCTGCTGGCTGCTCCCTTGCCACTGACTGAATCATTTCTATATTTGGCCAGTGAGCCACGTGGGTGGGGAACCACTCCACTGCGGCTGTACTTCTGACAGCTGGGGGTGGGGAGAGCTAGAGGCAGAGGCTACAGCAGGCAGCGGGCATGTGCATTCCTTGGGAGAAGTGAGCAAGGCGCCATCTGAGTGAGTAAGCCTGGAGAAGGGGCATGCGCCAATGCCTCGCTCTCCTCCCCCACCTTCTGGTCCAGGTCCTGTGTCCTGTGCCCCCACCCCCACCCCTGGATGCCCTTCTTTACTCAGCTGGTCCTCACGGCAGCCTCTTCTTCCACAGACCACTGCCTTCCAGTAACGATGGGTGTCGCTAGACCCAGCTGGGACTCGGCCAGGCTCCAGCGCTCAGCCTAAGCGGAGGGCCCTCTTCCAGCCCTGCTCCGTCTGCCTGTCATGGCCACATTTGGCTGCTGCCTGCTTGTCTGGGGACATAGGGCACCCAGCCCCAGCCCTGAGAGGTTAAACCTGACCCTCTGGCTCCAGTCCACAGGGGTGCCCCGGGCACCAGGCCCCTTCCAGAGCAAGAGCAACTGATGCCATGGGAGAAGTGCCCGCCCACCCGTCCACTTGCCTGGCGCCGCCTGCTCGGAGACCCATGCCCTGGGTCCCCCCGGAGGTGTCAACCCTGTGAACTCCGTCCCAGTCCCCTGCCGCTGAGAAGGCCCTGCCCACCCCCACCATGTGTGAGGTGATGCCCACAATCAATGAGGGGGACCCACTGGGGCCCCCCCACAGCGCCGATGCTGACGCCAACTTTGAGCAGCTGATGGTCAACATGCTGGACGAGCGGGAGAAGTTGCTGGAGTCCCTTCGGGAGAGTCAGGAGACCTTGGCGGCCACGCAGAGCCGGCTCCAGGACGCCCTACATGAGCGGGACCAGCTCCAGCGCCACCTTAACTCCGCCCTCCCCCAGGTAAGGCCACGTGGTCCGCACCTCCCTCATCCCTCAGCTCTCCCCTAGCCCCGCAGAGCCCAGCACGGGTGAGCTCTGGGTCCTCAGTTTATCTGCACCATTTGCATATCAACAAATGGAATTCACAGATCTTTTAATTTCCCTTCATCTGCCTGCATAAATCCTTTCCCACTTCCAAGCTCCTCGGCCTGGGATTGGGCCTGGGATTGGTTTCACCCGGAGAAATGGATGGAATTTGATGCTGGAAGAAAACCCAGCCATAGCTGTCCACTGCAGTGAGCCATGCGGCCAGCAGGTGGCACCCTAGACTGGAAAGACACCTCTGCCTTGCTGGCGCCTCATCAGCGCCCTATTCTCGGAGGTGGTGGGTGGGGAAAGGGAGGGTGGAAATGGAGAAGTCTTAGGATCATCTAGTCCACCTCTTATCGCACAGATGGAAAGAACAAGAGGCATGGCATAGAAAAGTCTAGGCAGAGCTGGATTTAGAAGCCAAGTATCTTGACACCTGTCTTGGGCTCCTTAATCAACACCACCACCACTGCTAGCAATGAAGTCACCATTTCTGTGTTTTCTGGGTATTAAGCACTCTGTGTGCAGTTTGCTTCGCTAAATGCTCGCAGCTATGAAGTTGGTACTGTTACCACCATCATTTCTATTTCACAAGTGATGGAAGGTGATGCTTGAGGAGATTAGCCGGTTGCCCAGCCTGTGTGTGCGTGTGTGCGTGCATGCGTGCATGTGTGTGCATGCGTGCATGTTTGTGTGTGTGCATGTGTGTGTGTGTGTGTTGCTGCCTGGACCGGGGAAGCAGCCGTGAGGAGCCATACGTCCACCGTTTCCCCACTTGTGGGGAGAAGAATCAGGGTGAACCCAGGTGGACCACAGGACTCTCCTGCCCAGTGCTCAGAAGTGGTGGGGGCAGAGGCCTAGTGGTGCTTCATGGAGAGGGATAGAGAGTCCTGCGGGAGGTCAGGGTTCAGGAGGCCCTGAACAAGCCATAGATTGAAGGAGCCAGGCCCTGCCCCTGGGGCCAACAGACTAGAAAGGAGACAGATAAAAAGCCGAGTGACTAGAAGTCCAGGTAGGTAGGGGAAGAGAAGAGCGGCACCAACAGTCATTTAAACTGCATCAGTGTTAAAAGTTGCTGCCTTTGGCAGACCTGTGCTAAGCACTTTACATACATTGGCTCATTTGATCATCGTAGCAACACGGAATGAGGCATGTCCTTCTATCTTATAGATAGAGGCGGAGCTTCAGAGAGTCTAGGTGACTTGTCCAAGGTCACATAGCTAATGGGACAGAGCTGGGATTTGAGTTTAGCCCCATGCCGGGAGCTGCTGGCAGGCAGGGCTTATGTGTTTCTTGTCACTATGTCCCCAGGGAGCATCACAGGACCTGGTACATGGTAGGTGTTCACGGTAGTTGTGGTTGAACGATGGGTTCCTAAGCTGGTGCTGTTGAGCTCTGTTCCAGGCAGCATTCAGGGCAGGGAGACAGCCTTCCTCTGTGGAGTCTGGAAAGGTTCCAAGGACGTGTATCCTTTGAGACAGACTTTGAAAGATAGATGTGATTTCATCACCTGGTGACAGAGGGTTGGGCTTTCTGTGGGGGTGTAGCCCACTGAGCAAAGGTGTGGAATCAAGACAGTTTGCTGGTGATTGGACATGGCAGGAGACCCAGGTTGACCAGGTTTTAGGGTGTATGAAAGGAGCCCATGAGAGAGAAGCTTGAAAAACAGGATCCTCAGGGCTTATATTCCACGTTGTGGACAACGCTGGGCTTTGGGAGACTGTCCTGGCAGCATTGTGTCCAATGGGCTCGGCAGATGTCCTGGTTGGGGAGCCCAGGGAAGGGCGGGGAGGAGAGGACGGGTCCTTCGGTGGTGGCGCCATGGCGTGGGGCTAGGGACATGCTGAGTTCCATCTCTGGGTATATGTACGTGTGCGTGTGTGCATGATGTGTTTGAGTGTGAGTGTGTAATGCGTGTGAGTGGGCGTAAGAGTGAATGTGTGTGAGTGTGCGTGTGCATGATGTGTGTGTGTGTGTGTAAAGGAGGGGAGCAGCACCGGGGCCATGCCTGGCTGGTGAGATGTTTGGCCACCTTTGGCCATGGCCTTGACAGAAAGACAATAATCAAGGAACAAGGTTGGAGAGATCTGAGGCTTCTCAGGCTCTGGCATCCCTGGGTCCTTTGGCCCCTTCCCACAGCCCTTGTCCCTGTTGCCTAAGCTGGAGTGATAAGAGGGGATTGCTTTGGAATTCTTCCTTCAATCACGAGTCCTTGGTGGACGGAAGGAGGCTTCAGTTAGGAGAGGGCTGCAGCTGCTGTTCAGTCCCTCCCAGACCCTCCACATCCACAGTTCGGGCCACCTTTCGGAAAACCTTTCTGGAATGAGGTGATGTCTGCTTGAATAAGTAGGGCACAATGGACCTGGAACTGCGGGGCCAGCCTCTCACCCTTATGTGCTTGTCCTCACTGAGATGCGTGGGCTGGAAAGGTGTCTCGGTGTGTCTGGGCCTGACAGTGTGGGGACAGGGCTCCTCAAAGGGTCACTTTGGGCATGGGTACTCTGTAAGGCCAGAGCGAGTGCCCTGGCATCAGGCACCAGGTTGCAGTCCTGGACTAAGGAAGTGGGGGTCCCTGGGATGTGGACTAGAGCCACATGGCTGACCAGGCAGGTCTGCAGGCTCTTCTGTTCCCACATACATGGGTCCTTATTTCAGTCCCTTTATTTCACGGCCACCCGTATCTTGCAAAGCCCTGGCGGCGGGTGCGTGGGAGGGAGCTCCCTGGGGCACTCACTTCAAAGCCCCCTCTCTTCCTTATCTAATATCCACCAGTCTCTGTCGGGACCTTGCCTTGCCAACCCAGAGGTGAGACTCCCCTCCATCTGTTTCTAAAGGATAATGTCATTGAGCAGAAATACAAACTAGGGGGCAGGATATAATGGGGTTATGTTGTTGGCTGGAGGGGGAAGGGGCCTCAGAACAGATTCTTTGACTTTCTCACTCTTGTTTCCACCTCCGTCCCCTCGTACCCTAATGTGTACTTGGAGTGGATGGAGGACCCAGAGATGGGGACCCCTCTGGGGGCATGGATGCTAACTGTGGGTTTGGATGGATGGGGACTTTTCTGGGGGCAGGTGCCAGAAGTAAGGGGTGGGTGAGAAGATCCCATCACCGATGTGGGCATGCAGGGCACTGGTTAGGGGGCAAGTCCCCGAGCACTTAGGGGCCTTGGGGGTTTTTAGGAATTTGCCACCTTATCTCGGGAGCTGAGCATGTGTCGGGAGCAGCTTCTAGAAAGGGAGGAAGAGATATCAGAGCTGAAAGCAGAGCGGAATAACACGAGGGTAAGTGGGGTGACCTGGTGTGTGTGTGTTGTGGGGTGAATCCCCCACCGAGGGCGTGGCCAGGGCCGGGCACATCCCCGGCCCCATGCTGACCTCTTCCTGTCTTATGTTCTGGGGTCAATCCTAGGTTTCTGCCCCATAGATGAGGGTGGCCCTGGGAACGTCTGGGTCTTGGGACAGAGGCTGGGGCAGCTGGCATGGGGCAGCAGCTGTTCACCAACCTGAAGCATTTCAACATTTTAATAAGGGGGTGCACGCCCTACTCATGTCTTCTCAGTGGTCACGGGGGTCCTGCTTCTAGCTCCCGGGGCACTGCTCACAGCCCTCCCTCTTGCCCTGCCCCGTGCCCTGCCAGTTGCTCCTAGAACATCTGGAGTGCCTGGTGTCCCGCCACGAGCGGTCGCTGCGGATGACTGTTGTGAAGCGCCAGGCCCAGTCGCCTTCAGGGGTGTCCAGTGAGGTGGAGGTGCTGAAGGCCCTCAAGTCGCTGTTCGAGCACCACAAGGCCCTGGACGAGAAGGTAGCCGGCCTAGGCCTGCAGCCTGGCCCACCCCACCACCCGGCCTCGCCTCTGCGCGTCCCTCCTCTGCGGTTTCTGCACCTGGTGTTGAGGGAAAACTGCCCTTGAGCTTCGCCCCGGCCCCTCCTCCCACCAGCCTTATTTCCGGGTCCTGTGTTCCGTTCCCTCTCGGAGATGGGCCTCTTGGCAGGCCCCTCTCTCTGCCCCAGTGCTGGTAGACCAAGGCCAGGCTCCTGCAGCCGGAGTCCCGTGGGGTCCCTTGTGTCTTCCTCCATCTCCCCTTACCCCGGGCAGGTGCGGGAGCGGCTCCGAGCAGCCCTGGAGCGAGTGACCACCTTGGAAGAGCAGCTGGCAGGGGCCCACCAGCAGGTGAGCCACCCGCCCGCCCTCCACCTGCAGGCTGCAGCTCCCGGTAGCCAAGGCGGGTTCACTGCTCTGCCCCACTTGCTTCTGCACTGGACTTCTTCCCACGGTCATGGCTGGAGACCACTAGCTAACGCAAGGCTGGGAGGAGGCAGGGGACTCAGAAGGGTCTGGAATACACCGGAAGTTCTCTTCTTTTTGACTCACCACCCTGGGGGCTTTGCCCTCCATACAGGTGTCTGCCCTGCAGCAAGGGGCTGGGGTTCGCGATGGAGTGGTGGAAGAGGAGGGGACCGTGGAGAGGGGACCGAAGCACCTGTGGAAGGTGGGTCATGGGGAACTGCGTGGCAGGGGCAGGGCTGCCCCCAGACGGGATGTGAGGGCCCCACACTGAGTTTGTTCAGGAGAACAAACGCTTGAGTGAAATTCGGGGCTTTCTCCAATATTCCCATGTCTCTTTCCTTCTTCCCCCTACCCCATACGCAAAGAAATTGATAGATTTTGTGTGTGTGTGCCCCACATGCTGCTAGGCGCCTACTCTGTTGTTTGCTGGAATCCTTAAGGCACTGTGTGTGTCAGTGTCAGATCCGATCCATTCTCTCTCCCCGAGCCTTTGTTCCCCTAATCATGCCCCTTCCCGGGTGACAAGATTCTGAGACAGCAGGTAAAACTAGACACTACGGTTTTTCAAAAGAAACACAGGAGAACAAGGGTGTTTTGTTTGGTCCCTGTCTGGCTCGAGCTCCTGGGGCCCCGAGGAAGGCCGGTGCTGCTGGAGGTGTGCACGGTCATTGGAGGCAGAGCTGGGATCTGCTCTGGGAGTGCCGTCCCTGGGGTGGGCCAAGGGAGTGGGCTACCCCGGGCCCGATGACTGACTCACGGCTCACTGTCCCCGGAGGATGACACGGGCCAGGTAGAGGAGCTGCAGGAGCTCCTGGAGAAGCAGAACTTTGAGTTGAACCAGGCTCGGGAGCGATTGGTCACCCTGACGGCAACAGTGGCCGAGCTTGAGGAGGATCTGGGCACTGCCCGCCGGGACCTCATCAAGTCTGAGGAGCTGAGCAGCAAGCATCAGCGGGACCTCCGGGAGGTGAGCTCGGGCCCCTGCCTGCCCCCACCTGGTTGCCGTGTGCAGGCATTCAGCACTCTGGAGAGCAGCTGCTAGGATGCCCTAGGTGTGGAGGGAGGCCAGGCTGGGGCTGGGGAGTTTAAGAGGGAACACTGGGTGGGGTCCACTGTGCGGAGGCATAGCAGGAGGGCTGGGTCAAGGTCAGAAACTGGCAGGGAGGCATGGGGAGGATATAGGCAGTCAGGCATTGGTGAGGAGGTGCAGGCAGGATGGGGGCAGAGAGAAGCTGATGCTCTTCCCTCCTGTGCCCTCCTCTCCTGCCCCAGGCTCTGGCCCAGAAGGAAGACATGGAGGAGAGAATCACAACACTAGAGAAGCGCTACCTGGCTGCGCAGCGCGAGGCCACGTCCATCCATGACCTCAATGACAAGCTGGAGAATGAGCTGGCCAATAAGGAGTCCCTGCACCGCCAGGTAACTCCTCCCGCTGGTGCGGGGACTGGCGTTGTACTTGACCCTGGAGGTCCTGGTGATCATGCTGGAACCTCTTCCCCGGGGGCCCAGGAGCCTGGGGGTCCTGCAGGTCTCCTCGTGGGCAGCCAAGAACTGGGTTATCCTTGGCTCCTCTGGCCTGTCACCTGCTCTCTCCTGGGGCAAGGGCCTGGAGCAGGGATGGGGCAGGGGGAAGGCTTTGGGGCTCCCTCTTGACTCCCGGCCGTCCCCGCATGGTACTAGTGTGAGGAGAAGGCCCGGCACCTGCAGGAGCTGCTAGAGGCTGCAGAGCAGAGGCTGCAGCAGACCATGCGCAAGGCTGAGACGCTGCCCGAGGTGGAGGCTGAACTGGCCCAGAGGATCGCAGCTCTCACCAAGGCAAGTGGGCCCAGGGTGCGGGGCTCTGCCTCTGTTTTGGCTTCCGGAGCTTTATGGAGCTCTGATGCGTTGTGCCAGAGAGTGGGAGGCACGCGGGGCTGGGAGCCAGGAAATGGCCTGTCACCTCATGACTCCAGGAACACACCGTCTGTGTCTGTCTGCTGGAAGAGTCGTCCCTGCCCTCATCACCCCTCAGGGAAGTGATGGTCCCCTGACAAGGGCTGCAGAAGTCCACGGAGAAGTAGATGAGACTGTTGCTGATGCAACGTGTTTTGGATGATCGTTGACACTATTGTGTCACTATTAGCCATTGCTGGGGGCTGGACTGGAAAAATCAGGACTGTTTGGTCCCTGGAAAGATGAAATCCGAGAGAAGATCAGATCAGAGCAGGTTGGGGGGTGGGTAGTGGGAGTGTGGGCTGAGCATACCTTTCTTTGTCAAACGGAAGCATTCTGGATCTAGAAACTAGCTCTGGTTGCTTGAAGGCTGCAGCCAGAGGATTCATAAAGGGGAATAGATTTGTACCTGATGGATAGTTAACTTGATGGAGGAATCATTTCTAAGAGGTAGGCAGGCTGAAGTCATCATGGGATCTGGCAGAGCTGGGTAAATGCAGGGACCTAGATGTGCAGTGGGCTAATCAGGAGACTTTTCGGTATTTGCACCCCATTGGATGCTGTTGGGGGGGCTCACGTGGGCTCCCTATAGCTACCCTCCCACCAGCCTTGGAGAGAAGGAAGTCAGCACTGAGTAAGCAGCAGGCTCTGAAGCCTCTGGAGGATAGAGGCTGTCGGCTGTGCCAGTGTGACAGCTGGGGGCTCCGTGGCCAGAGCCTCCAGCCTGGGTGCTGGTTGGTCAACCCAGGACCAAGTCTGCTTCTGCCACCGACCGGCTCCGTAACCTGAGAAAAGTCCCTCCCTCCCTAATCAGGCATTTGTGTCATTATGTCTTTGATCATGTTATCATCTCAGTGATGATAGCATTGCACTTGGCGGTGTGTGAGGTCTTTCTTGTGCCCAGGGAGGCGGTGCTGGGCTGACGTGCGGTGGAGGACACCGCGTGATGCTGGGCTGTCCGCGTTCCCAGCTTCCCAGACCAGACGGGATGGGCTGCAGTGCTTCATATGTTCAAATGAATCATAGTAGGGGGTTCTAAGGAGGGGTTTCCTGACTATGCTAGTCTGGAATATCTTATCAGCAGAGACATGGGATCTCCGCCTCTGGAGACACAGGAATGGAAGGGGGCCCCCTCTGCCTAGGCTGGTTATAAAAATGGCCAGCATTTGCTGAGTGTTTATGGCATCCTAGGTGTTTGCCATGGATTATCTGATGTAGTCCTCGTGGTGATCCGATGTGCAGAGATGCTATGGTTACCCATATTTTACAGTGGAGGAAACTCAGGCACATAGAGGTCCAGTAACTTGCCCAACATCACACACCTGGGAAGAGAGGGAGCCGGGATTTGAACCCAGGCAGTCTGGCTTGCATTCATGTTAAGTGCAGGTCCGTCTGCCTGGAGGCATAGAGGAGATTTATGGCAGCTCATACTTTCAAGTGGAGTTTTTTTCTGGAAGTGGGGAGTCCGTTGGGCTGCCAGTTCCAGGCTGTTTTAAGGCAGGCCCTGAGCTGGAAGCAGGGGGTGGGGATCACCTGGCAGGGAGTAGAGAGGGCTTGGGAAGAAGGGTAGTGGTGGTGGAGTTCTGCTCCAGGGGGGGAGGCGGAGGGTTGGGCTTTGTTGGTACTGAGGCCCTGACCCCCAAATGGGTATGTGGGCTGCGGAGCCTGAGCAGTAGGGCAGGGGATCTGGAGATGCACTGACCCATGTCCGCCTCCAGGCTGAAGAAAGGCACGGCAGCATTGAGGAGCACCTGCGGCAGCTGGAGGGGCAGCTGGAGGAGAAGAACCAGGAGCTGGCGAGGGTGAGGGCACCGGGCTGGGCTCGCAGGCCCCCTCTTTGTCCTCAGGGCAGCCTCCCAGATTGGCGCATGGACAGGCCGGAGGAGTGGGAGCTGGGAGGGGCCCTGGGAGGTGGTCCTGGGAAGCTGGAGAGGGGGGCTCTGGAGGATGAGTCCGGGGCAAGTGAGTGGGCTGGCACCAGGTCGGAATGGGTGGCCCTGGGGTGACCTGGGACCAGGTGTGCTGGCTCTGCAGGTGCGCCAGCGGGAGAAGATGAACGAGGACCACAACAAGCGGTTGTCAGACACCGTGGACCGGCTGCTCAGCGAGTCCAACGAGCGCCTGCAGCTGCACCTCAAGGAGCGAATGGCCGCCCTGGAGGAGAAGGTGCGGTGGGTCGCGGCCCTGGTGGGCGGAGCTTCCAGGCCGGGGCGTGGCGTGGCGAGGGTGTGGGTGGAGCCGAGGGGAGGAATTGGGCCGCAAGAGGTTAGTCAGGGGCGGGGCGCGTCTGGGACGTCGACCTGGGTGGACAGACGTCGGGGAGGCTGGGGAAGGGAGGAGCAGGAGGGGCGAGGAGGGGCGGTCTGGCCTGGAGAGGGCGGTTGATTAGGGAGGGGAAGGCGCCGGCCAGATCGGGTGGAGGAGCCAGGGCGGGGTCGCTAGCTCCCAGCTGTTCTCCCCCAGAACACGCTGATCCAGGAGCTGGAGAGCTCCCAGCGGCAGATCGAGGAGCAGCACCATCACAAGGTACCCAGCTGCTGGGCCGCCCCGCCAGCCTGGGAGGGCCGGGCTTGCGGTGAGGAAGGAACACGCCTGTGTTTCCTGCAGCTGCTCTGCCACCCAGCACCACGCTAGTCTGTGTACAGACGGAATTGCGCTGATCCTCGCTAGAGCCCTTCACGGTGGATGCGTCACCACCCACATGTAAAGAAGAAACGGAGGCCATAAGCTTAGGGCATAGCGGGGGCAGCAGAGGCAGGGCCCAGGGAAAGATCTGATGGGGCCTCAAACCAGGTGAGGCAGGAGTCCAGTGATTCTGGGAGGACTGGTCACTGGCCCTGGCTCAGCCACGTCTGTGAGGTCTGGGCGGGCACCCCGCGCCCCTCGGCTGCCCAGCCTCCACCGCCATGCATTTATGTAGTGCTGAGGGCTCATCAGACCTATTCCAGTAGAATCCTTACCAAGACAGACCCTCTTCTGGCCCTGCCCCTCTGCCTGCCCGCTGCCGACCCTTCTGCTCACTTTCCAGTTGGACCTCTTCTCTTGGTGTCATCTGCGGGCCTGGCCGGGGGCCCCTGGCTTTGGACTTTGCAGTACATTCTTCTGCTTCTCCCCAACTCTGCTGTCCTCTTTGTCCCTCTCTCCCCTCTCCGCCCCTCCCTGGCCCCACCCCCACCCCGGGTCTGCCTGGCACAGGGCCGCCTGTCTGAAGAGATTGAGAAGCTGCGCCAAGAGGTGGACCAGCTGAAGGGTCGAGGGGGGCCGTTTGTGGATGGCGTCCACTCCAGGTACTGGAGCGCGGGAGGCTGGGCGTGCTGGGATGGGGTCCTGGATGGACCCTGAGGAAGGAGACTTCCTCCCACCAAAAGACCGCCCAGGACCTCAGGGTCCTCCTCCTATCCATGGTGGGACACTGAGGCTCCCAGAACTTGGTCAAAATCACCTAGCTCACTTGGGCCGCGTAGAAGGAGCACCTGTCCTCTGAGGGATGCTGAGAGGCCAGTAAAGGATGCTCCTTCCCCAGTGCCGTGGGACACAGGCTGTGCTTCCTGATTCCTTGACAGAGGACATGCCCTGGAGAGGGGTGTGCTGAGTTACCTGCTCACCGATGTCCCACAGGACTTTCTCATGGAGAGTGTCTGGTTCATTCTAGTTCTTTGGAGACACCATCTTTAGAGCTCTGGAGGATTGTTGCTTCAGAGTTCAGGACCACCTAGGTTCAGACAGCAGGCAGGGAGCAGCAAGGCAGCACGAGGGACTGACGTGAGGAGGCTCCAGAACTTCCTCATGGTTGGAAGTTGAGATGCCACGTCATGGTTGTGACCACCCTTGTCCTGGAAAACATTGTAAGAGACGGGGAGTGGCGCTGTTCACCTAATGCTTGAATTAGGTCCATGTTTTAGGGAACTTCTGGATTTTTCTCCACATTCTGTGAGGTAATTGGCATTGAACTCAGACCTTAGTCCTGCCTCCACTTCTCTGCCCGGAAAGGCAGGGTAGAGACTGAGGACACTAGTAGGCGATGCCCCTCAAGGTCTGTGGGTCCCAGCTGTTTTCTCTCCAAACCAGTATCTCACAGAAGGGAGTCTCTGAGGTTTCCTTCAGTCATGCTCTTGCTGTGTTGGGGCAATAGGGATCAGTTTCCCTGAGAAGAGGTGACAGGAAAGGTGTACATGCCCATCTATGTGGGGAGGGGTGGGGCTTACATTAGGGAAAGGGATGTTGAACCTGAAGAAGGGAAGCCTGTGGGTGTCTGGGGTGGTAGAGACGTAAGTACCGCCTTCAAGTTCATCAGGAATTTTTGTTTAGGACATACAGAGACAGGCAGGAAACAGAGACAGGGAATAGTAGTTGGAATTCCTCTGACTTCTTCCTTCCGGTAGGTTTCTCCGAAGAGAGCGCCCCTGCCCCAGCCCCCAATGAATATGACTCATGACTCCGAGTACACTGAGCTATTTGCCTGATTGCTTTCCTTAATGGTTGAGAATTCTTGGCATTGACCATAGGAATTGGGACTGAGTTGGAGGAGAGAAGGGGAGATAAGCAGAAACTCCCCTTTCCCTGCAGCTACCTTATCCATTATAGGCTTGCCCTGTCCCTCTGCCCTGAGCCCCCTCAAACTGGGAAGGCTTGGGAAGGCATCATAGGGAAGGAGTGTCACTAGGGAAGGCATCCACACCTTCCAGAGCCTCATTACTGGGATTCTAAAATCCTAGGGTTGGAATAAACCCAGGGGGCATGTAAGTGGTTTTTCTAGTCCATGTCTCTGATAAGAGTGTTGGAGACCCCCGAAGCTTCCTGGGGATAGGGAGTCTGTCTGGGTTGAATTTCAGCCAGGAACTCAGTCTAGATTATGGGGAAACCCAAGGGAAGTTGCTGGGAGAGGACGAATCCCTTGGGATTAAAAGGACCTTTAGAGACCCTTCCTTGCAAAATCCATTCTTGTCAGATGGCCCAAGAGCTGTTGCTTGCATGCCTCTTTGATGGGGAGCTCAGCTCTTTCAAAGTCACCAGTTGCATCATAAACCAAATCTTACCATCTGAAGGTGCTTCTTAGGTTGACTGGAAAGCTGCTCCCCTAGAATGTTCTCGCCTGGATCATTCTGATCCCTGGGGCGCCAGAGAGTAAATCGAATCTCTTGTTGACACAGCCACCCTTAAACTATTTACAGTAGCTCTCTGCCCGCTCAGACTTCTCATCACCAAGCCAGAGAGCCCTTAACTCTTTGGGCCCTAGTGGGTGTGAGCTGGGGCTCCCAGTCCTCAGGGCCGGTCTTTTCTCCCCCTGAACCACTCAAGGTCGCACACGGGCAGCGCAGGGGATGTGCGGTTTACCCTGAGCACAGCCACGCACGTGCCCTCAGGCCTGCACCGCCGCTACTCAGCCCTGCGGGACGAGTCTGCCAAGGTGAGGGGTGGATGGGTGAGTGTGGAAGGCTCTCCCCTGGGCGAGTTTGGGGTCAGTTCGGCCGCGTGCCTGTCTCCAGTTTCACAGACGGCTGGCGTGCGGCGCAAATCCTCCCCCTCCTGTGCCGCCCCCACGCCCCATGTGGACAACAGCTGCAGCCCTGGGGCTTGGGGCCATTGTTAGCTGCGACAGCTGTGCCCCTTCGCCTTGGCCTCCTGGTGGGCAAGTGGTCGGGGCTGGCGGGCGGCCAGCCGGTCCCTGAGGCCCTACTGAAGCGTGTGCACGTGTGCCTGGGGTGTGAGCGTGTGCTTCTGGTGGTCGGGGCGGGAGACGCAGGGGTGAGGTGGAACTGGCCGGCTTTCTGGAACACGAGTTGTGGTTTACGGGGGAGATGAGGGAGGGATGGCAGGTTTAAGTGGCCCTGGGGATGGCACCTGACGTTTTCTGAGAAGCAGCTTTGCATTCTTGCTGAGACTGCTGCCTGGGGGATGGGGGTTGAGGGTGGGGGGAGCAGGAAAGAAAGGACAGAAGAGGACTGACCTCATCTTTTATCTGGGGAAGCGTGATTCCCTCTTAACCCCAGAATTGTTAAGCACACCGTGCCCTGGGTCCAGGGCCTCGGCTTGCTCTAAGGCACTACAAGATACAGGTAGAGGAGGGAGCGCTCCTAGTCTGATGGGGGAGGACTCCTCTCTGCCCTTAGGTAAGCCCTAGTCTGATGGGGTCACAATCTGAAGGCCTCTCTTTCTCCCTTCACCCTTTCCTCTCTCTGTTGATAAGAACACAGCAGGTGTCTAGAAAAGAGCCTTAAGGGGAACTTGTGGGTCTGGGTCCAAGAGGGTGGGGTTAGTATACCTCTCTGTTCCTGCCTCCCGCTCTTCTGGCTCACTCAGCCCCCTTCTGTGCTCTTTCCTCTTCCGGGCCTTTGTCCACTGAAGATGTTTGTAGCGTGACTTCTGAGACCACCGCCTCTCAGGGCTGGGTACGTCCTGAGACGTGCTGAAACCCTGGGAGATGCCAGTCAGATAGGACTGCTTGGCTTCTCTTGTCCCCTGGATCTAGTTACTCTTAGAGAGTTTGTATTCGTAGAAAGGGGTAGCCTTTCATAGTGCTAACTTTGTGCCAGACACTGTGCTAAAGTCCTTACTCTGTTCTCACGATTACCTACCACATAGGTAGGTACTGTTACCATCCCCATTTTACAGATGAACAAACTGAGGCACAGAAAGGTTAAACAACTCTATCACTGTTGCACAGCTAATAATCAGATTCCAAAGCAAGACAGGCTCTCTCTGGAATCTGTTCCTAACCATTATGCTACCTTGTTCCTTGCACTGGGGTAGTATTTCTTAGACTCTAGTGGCAAATAAATCACCTGGGAAACTAGTTAAAGTGCAGGTACTCACTTTGTGTGTAGCCTGGGGTGGGGTCTCACATTTTGCGCTTCTAAGTTCTAACGAGTCCCCGAGTCCCCGGGAGGAGCCTTTGCTGCTGGGATAGGTGGGGAGGGGCCGGCTCCTCAGCTGCCCGGTGTGTCTTATCAGTACTCTCCCCTCTCCTTTGCTAAGGACTGGGAGCCCTCTCCACTGCCTGGGGGGCTGGCCCCCTCCGCCGCCCCTGCCTTTGACAGTGACCCCGAGATCTCTGATGTGGATGAGGATGAGCCAGGGGGTCTGGTGGGCTCCGTGGATGTTGTCTCCCCCAGCGGCCACTCGGACGCCCAGACTCTGGCCATGATGTTGCAGGAGCAACTTGATGCCATCAATGAGGAGATCAGGTTCGGGCTGGGGCAGAGGGCCTGTGGGCGCCTTGAAGGACGGGGTCCCTTTAGGTTGGGGCACCGCAGGACAACTTCTCTGTGTATCTGCTTGTCTCTTCTAGCTGCACCTCTGAGTGCCTAGTCTAGGGATTCTGTGCGGGGCATCAGGCCCCGTGCCGGACCGAGAGGGGTGAGGGCTCAGCCTGACTTCTCGGGCTTCATCTCCCCTCCCGGGACTGGAGAGGCTGTGTTCCCGCAGCGCCTGTGTTTGAGACTGGAGCTCCCACTGACTGAGGCCAGATCAGGGGGAGAACTTTGTAGATGCCCCCGGCAGTCTTACCACAGTCTCTGAGGGAGGCAATGTTATTTCCATTGTCCAGACAAGGGACCAGCAACCAGAGAGGTTAAGTGATTTGCCCGAAGCCACACAGTAAGTGGCAGGGTCAGGATTCAAACTCAGGTCTACACTCAATGTATTGTAGCATTCCTCCCATCCCTAATGAGGCCTCAAACAGAAACCAGGGGCAGGGTAAGGGATCAAGACCTGTACTTGACCCTGCCTTTATAGGAGGTTTATGAATGTTTATGCCCAGCAGCAAGCAAAAATCTGAGCCAGAGTGCCTCAGCCTAGAGGGCTGTAGGGGACATCTGGTTCCACGGTTTCCACACTTTGGGATTTCACAGACCAGTTAGAAAGAAAACATCTCTCTCTCTCTCTCTCTCTTTCTCTCTTATACACACACATACATACACACACACACACACACTGGAAAGAAGGATATTAACATAGGGCTGCCAACTTTTATTCTGGAAAGGAAAACATGAAAGGTAACTACTGTCTCCTATCACAACCATTCTACAAAAGAAAGGTCATTTTCACATCCCTCACATTGGAAAGACATACTCTCAGAATAAAGACGAGTCTGGCTCCTAACGGACAGTTAGCATTGTCACATCAATGCATGTACGTGTGTGCACACGAGTGAAGGAACAAAGACATGTGCCTCTGTGACCACCCGCTCCCCGCCCACACATACAGAATGATCATGGGTTTTCTCATTTTTCTTGGAAGAGGAAAAACTCCATCAGGGGTCAGCATCAGTTAAGGGACCCAGGTTTGGGACCTGTTGGCTTGGGCCCCTCCTGACATTGGGTCTAGGGGGAAACTGAGGCCAGAGCGTCTGACTCCCGGTGGCCCGCCTAGTCAGTGATAGGTCAAGAATTCTGCCTTCCGGAATGGCTTGATTCCCACTGACTAAATGCCCTCCTTCACGTTCTGTTACGTGAAGTCAGCTAATAAGACAGAGAAATGTTTCCGAGCTGTTGGGGGGAAGATCGAGCTGTGTCCGCGAGGCCTGGTGTGTCCCGGCCATGCCAGAAACAGTGTGGGTTCCCCTGCCATTGCCTGCTGCCTGGGGTCCCAGGGTGGGGGGTGCGGTGCCGGCACCTGTCCCCCTGCCGGGCTTGCAGGGGATGTGGGGGGACCAACACAGTGTCTGGTTGGGCCTGGTCCCAGGATGATCCAGGAAGAGAAGGAGTCCGCAGAGCTGCGTGCTGAGGAAATCGAGACTCGGGTGACCAGCGGCAGCATGGAGGCCCTCAACCTGACTCAGCTGCGTAAGCGCGGCTCCATCCCCACCTCTCTGACCGCCCTGTCGCTGGCCAGCGCGTCCCCTCCGCTCAGCGGCCGCTCCACGCCGAAGCTTACCTCCCGAAGTGCTGCCCAGGACCTGGACCGCATGGGGGTCATGACCCTGGTGAGAGTCTGAAGGCAGTTGATGAACAGCCCAGTCGGCTCTGTGCTCTGCTCTGGGGGCTGGCTGAGGGTCGCCGAGAAGGCTTGGTAGGGCTCAGTCCTCTCGGCTGGGCCTGGCGTCCTCTTCCCATGTTGGGCACGGACCCCAGCATGTCCGGCTACCAACATGTCCTCCTGGGATTGGCCGGGGCCTGTCATGTCTTCCTCAACCCTGTGGAGAAGCAGAGAGCGAGAACCTCAGCTCCTGCCCGTACCTCTCCCTCTCTTCCAGAGGGAGCCCTGACTTAGTTTTCCAGGCCGGCTTTTTTTGGCTGTGGTATTCTCTCCAGGCCACTGAGTCCTACCTTCTCCTCCTAAGGCCACTGGGCTCCCTTGGGGTTGACTTTCAGGCATCTGGAGGGTGATTCTGAGCTTACCCTTTACTTTCTCTTCCAGCCCAGTGACTTAAGAAAGCATAGGAGGAAGCTGCTGGTGAGTGCTGCCCAATGACCCAGGTACTAACGGGTGAATTCTCCCAGGCCCTTCCCTTTGGCTTCTCTCCCCTGGGCCCTTGAGTCTGAGTCTGGGCTCAGAGAGGCCCCCAGTCTTCCCACTGCACTTCTCCAAGTTCCTCTGCCTCGTCTGGGCTGGGTAGGCAGGCCCCAGATCTCTCCCTCTATCCCCTGACGGCTTCACTGTCTGTTCAGTCGCCAGTGTCTCGGGAAGAGAACCGAGAGGATAAAGCCACCATAAAATGTGAGACTTCTCCTCCTTCCTCACCCAGGACGCTGCGGCTAGAGAAGCTTGGCCATCCCGCCCTGAGCCAGGAAGAAGGCAAAAGGTAAGTGGCACAGGCCCCACACCTCGAGTCCCTCTACCCCAAGGTCATCTCATCCCTCCCCCTGCCTCTAGAGGGACAGAGTCTCCTGTATCCAGGTGTCTGAACATCTCACTTCTCTTTGAAACACCGTCGGGGAAGGACATTCCCATGTCTCCTTTGGTCACCTTCTCTAGTCACCCCCCGCCTCCACCCCCGACCAACCTTACTGCCTGAAATTTCTCCCCGAGGTCTCACTTCAGGTCTCCTGGTGTAACGAAAGCCTGTCTCTTTTCATTGCGCCCCCTCCTGGCTGTCTTCCTGTAGTGCTTTGGAGGATCAGGGCAGTAACCCGAGCAGCAGCAACAGCAGCCAGGACTCCCTGCACAAGGGCGCCAAGCGCAAGGGCATCAAGTCGTCCATCGGCCGCCTGTTCGGGAAGAAGGAGAAGGGCCGGCTGATCCAGCTGAGCCGGGATGGAGCCACGGGCCAGGGTGTCTGTCCACGTCCTAGCGAATGGGTGCAAGTGGAGGGGCCAGAGCAGGAGGGAGTCCTGGGGTCTGGCCTTCTGCGCTGGCCTCTTGGGGGCCCGTGGGTGGAAGCCGCAGTCACGCAGGTCTCGACTCCAGGGAGGAGAGGCAGGTGCTGTGGGCGAGAGCTGTGTCGCCATGGCTCTTGGAATGCTGTGGAAGGGATTCCTGCCCGGGGTGAGAGGTTGGGCCTCTGAGGTTTCTTGTAGTACAGAGGTTTTCTGATGTCCTGTGCTCAGTACCTCTGGGAGGACTCGGTTCTTGATTAGAACTTATTTCTAGTGCATCTGCCCTCCAGGATGCAACAGGTCGTAATGCCTCTTGATGGCTTCATAGATACTACATTCTCATAAATGCTTGGGCAGCAGTGGCATTACCACCTCTGTGCTAATAGAAAGTTCTGCTGCGTGCTTGGCACCTGGTGGGTACACAGTAAATGTCAGCTGTCCTCCTCCGCCTTCCCCTGTTCCTGCTTTCCTTTCCTTCCTCCCCGTCCTTCTTCCTCTTTCCCTCATCTATTCAGTCATTTGTTCAACAGACATTTATTGAGTACCTACTGTATACAAGACTTAGTGTTGGCCATTCTCTCAAGGAGCTCAGTGTCTCATAGAAAGGGAAAAGGGAAAGAGATGATTCCAGAACAGTGTTAGGATAGCAGTGTGCTTCAGGAGCTTCTGGAATGCAGAACTCAGCCGTGGAGTGGGACAGACGCCTGCAGTGGCTTTCTCTACTAGGCAACTGCTGGGCTCAGGTTGGAAGGCTAAGTGGGAAGTAGCCAAGCCAAGAAGAGTTGTGTGTGAGGGGTCTGGGGGTCTGGGGGAGGCAGGTTCTGGGAGTGGGAGCTCTGTATGTGATTGAGGCTCTTCAGAGTGGAAGAGAGAGAGGCTGGGAGAAAGGAGGAGGTGGCTGTGGACCCTAGGTGGGCTGGCTCAGAAGGGCATTGACAATGGCATGCTGGGGGGGAGGGCCTGATCAACTAGAAGAAAGGAAGCTTTGAACCCAAAGGTCTAATTATTAGACCTTCCTTTGCCTCAGAGAAGGTGTGAATTAGAAGCCAGCTAGCTAAGTGAGGAGGAGGAAGAGGGAAAGCAGGTACCACTGTCTAGGTGGGGAAGGAGGGGAAGCACCCTGCCCCCAGCCCTGAGGGGTGCGGGGAGGTGGGGGGGGGTGGAGCAGGTGCAGAGGGCACTGGGAGGGAGCTGAGAAAGGCTCATCTGTGGACGAGATCTTCTCCGGGCAGTCTTGGGATTTTCTACACTCCCTGCACCACAGTGGTGCCTGACCCTGAGATAGCATTTCACCTTGTTTCCTGGGTCACCCCAGACCTACGGCCAGCTGCACTGGGTGGAGGGACGGGAATGTGATGAATTCTAAGATGTGGCACCTGCTGTGAACTCTGTAGGGGCGTGGCGTCTGTTCAGGGTCCTTAATAGAAAAAGACAGAGCTAGGGATGCTCCCCCATGGGTACTGTGCAAGAGTGCTCCCTGAGCAAGAGGCTGAGGGGCACACGGCTCTCAGTGTGCCCGTCTTCCCACCCCCAGCCAGGTCAGGATGATCCTCTGTGAGCCCAGAGTAGACTCTTGTCTGGCTCTGTGGGTTTCCTTTGCACCCTGGTTTGGAGGAGAGCTATGTTCTGTCTAGGATTCTGTGGTTGGAGGGGTAGGAAGGCCTTGGTCCATCTGGCTGGAAAATGCCTCCAGGGCTGAGTCTCCCCTGGGGAGACTCTCTGGTCTGGGTGACCCCTTTGATGCCATGGTGGGACCACCGGGATGTAGGGACATTGAGCAGAGGCTCTGGGAGTGATAGATTGTCCCATTAGGCCTCCTGGGTTGTTAAATGCTGAGGGGCCTCCTGCGGGTCTGCTCCCCAGTCCTGGCCCAGGCGAAGGGAGGAGAAGGAGGGGCCTGGCTCACATGCCATCTCTTCCTTCTAGTTCTGCTAACAGACTCCGAGCTTGGTCTGCAGGAGCCCATGGTGCCTGCCAAGCTGGGGACCCAGGCAGAGAAGGACCGGCGGCTGAAGAAGAAGTAAGATCCACAGGCCAGGGGTGCACCCAGCCCCTCACCCACTGTCCTTCTCTTGGCCTGCCGTGGGACTGAGCTCAGGCAGCCAGAGCCAGAGCCAGGCCCTTTCTGAACTGAGTTGGCCCGGTGCACCTGGGCACAACAGGGACTGGGAGGTGATTCTGAGGGTGAGCCAAGGAAGAAGGAGGCTGGGAGGGCTGGGGGAGAGAGACCCAGAACCTGTGCGTCTCTGGCAGAGTGGACCGAAATGTCTGCGGGTCAGGCCATGTGCAAACAAAGTCGGAGCCCCTTGTCCTCTGGGGATGGAGAGGAGTCCTGCCTATGTCTTGCAGCACGGAGCAGGGGACAGCAGTCTAGTGGTGGGGAGTCGGGTTGTGAGAGTGCTCTTAGCACATCCCGCGGTCTCAGGAGTAAGCATGTTTGGGAGAAAAGGAGACTAGGGGTCTGTTCTTCCTCTTCCCACAAGACACCAGCTGCTTGAAGATGCCCGCAGAAAAGGAATGCCCTTTGCCCAGTGGGATGGCCCTACTGTGGTCTCCTGGCTGGAGGTAAGCCTATAGTTTGTCCCCAGAAACTAATCACCCATGTGATATTGGGAAAATCCCCTCACCTTCTCAGGCTGTAGATTTTTCCATCTGTAAAATGGGAAGGAAAGACATTCGGTGGTTTCATCTCTACGTTCCTAAATTCCGCACCGTGTTTGCTCTTTTGAGACTATGGATGAGGCCTGGCCCTTGTTCCTTGATATCGTCAAGCTCTTGAAGGTGGGGAAGGGGCTGAACTTACCCCCTGTGCCCGTGTCTGCAGCTCTGGGTGGGGATGCCTGCCTGGTACGTGGCCGCCTGCCGCGCCAACGTCAAGAGCGGAGCCATCATGTCGGCCCTGTCGGACACAGAGATCCAGCGCGAGATCGGTATCAGCAATGCCCTGCACCGGCTCAAGCTCCGGCTGGCCATCCAGGAGATGGTGTCACTGACCAGCCCCTCTGCCCCGCCCACCTCCAGGACCGTGAGTGGCCTATCCCTCACCACAGGGCGTTTTCTGAAGTCCTGGCGTAGAATTTGCGAAGTTTCCCATTGGCCTTTGGGAAAGTGGCAGCCTTGATTCCTGCCCCTTCCAGTCCCTCAAAGGGCTCCATCTGGTCTCTAGGAGGGGCTGACATACCAGGAGGATCCCAGCAGCCTCATTCCCTCTTCCAGGTTCCCTGCGTACCACCCATGGGCCCCATCCCCCTATCCCCACTCTGGGAACCATTGCAGATCTCTAGGCAGAGTTTCCAAGGATGGGGCTTCCAGGGGTTCTGCGTGGTTACTGGACTTGGGGATATAGAGGGGGAAGGCACTTGTGAATTCTGTCCTGGTCCTCCAGCCTCTGTCCGACTGCAGACTAGTCCACAGACTCTCAGAGTAAAGTCGCTCACGGCCATGCATCTCTCTGATTGGGATCAGCCCGTATTCTAGATCTGCGCCATTCATCCATCTTCATTCAGGAAATGTTTGTGGAGCTTTTGAGATGCCAGGCCCTGTGCCAAGCAGTGTGGCTGCAGAGATATGGGGAGGTGCTCAGAGCCTCAGTCTGCGGGGCTTGGGGCTGTGCCTGTAGGAGGACTCAGGGGAAGGGATGTTTGTCCTTGTCCTTGGGGTTCCCAGTCTCCAGGGAACCCTGGGGACCCACACGCAGGACCTGCTAGGTTTCCTCTCTGCCTACAGTCTTCCGGGAATGTCTGGGTCACCCATGAAGAGATGGAAACTCTGGCAACACCCACTAAAACAGTGAGTCTGGCCCTGGGCCTCGGGCCTGGGTTGGGGCTGTTGACCCCCACAAGGATGATGGGAAGGTGGTGGGAAGTCAGAGGGGGTGGCAGTCGGTTTATATACGAGACTGATATCCTGATGTGTGTTGGGTTCTGTTCTCAGGGTGGTGGGTTGGGAAAGGAGTGGGAATGGGAACAGTTAGTGGGTGCTGGGGGTTCCATCCCAGGGGGCCCCGAGCTCACCTTAGGCCACTGGTGTGCTGTAGTGGAGAAGAGCTGGCCTTGGGAATAAGGAGTGCTTTGCCCGGCTCTGGGCCTGAAGCTGCAGAGTCCTTGTGCTTGATGCTTGGTGGGGGACAGGAATGGGGGAGAACCTGGCCCTTTGAGGGGCTCCCAGCCAAGCCTACAAGGTGTGGGAGTGTGTTTTCGCCATACACATTTGTCCCGCCCTCAGCGCAAACACAGACACCTGCACTAGCCTCGTGTTCCGTCTTGCCACCCCAACAAGCTCCTCCTAGTCCCCTTCCCAGCCATTGGGGTGTCTACTCCCTCTGCTTGGTGGGGCCGGGGGTGGATGCTTCCAGCTTTCTTGACTTTGCCTGTTTCCCCTGACACGCTGCACTCGTTCCCGCTAGGACAGTGAGGAGGGCAGCTGGGCTCAGGTAAGATCCCCTTCTCTGTCCGGAGCCACCTCTCAGGAGTTCAGGACAGTGTTCTCCCCACAGGCTCTCTGCCCAGCAGGACTCCCCGAGTCCCAGTCTGTTTATGTCCCCTCTTTGCACGAGAGGTCCTAGACGGGTTTTCTCATCCCGCTGAAGCCCCCTTCCTCCTCGTTCCCCTTGAGCTACTTGTTCTGGCTTCTCAGGGTGACAGATACTGCCATGGAGGGCCCTGTCCCTGGCACACCTGCCTCTTCTCCTCTCTTCCCAGGAATAATGAGACTGAGATTGACATGAGTCCTCGTGCTCACCCCATCCCCTTTAAGGGGCACCCCTGGTGAGCTGAGCAAAGAAAGACCTTTTCCTCATTCACTGAGTCGGCAATTATCATGTCAAGTGCAAAATCTAAGCCCCCAGAGATTCATAGAATTTTATACTACAACTAAAAATAAGCAAACTTAATAATCTATAATTTTAGAGAAATACACATTGGTGATTGGAAAAACTGTAAAAACATTTCTTCCAGCAAGGGCATGATAGAACCTCAGAATAGCAATGACCTCTAGAGGGACAGCAGGGGATGGGACCGGGAAGGCGAGCACGGGGAAGACACAGCCATGGGTGGTGTGGTTGGTGTCCATTGATGTTACCTTCCTCTTTATGCTTAATATTGAAGCTATACTATGATATTATGCTATGTTTATTTTTATATGTATAACACTTTCACTTTTACAAAGCTAAAATCAGTGTTTCAATCTAAAAAAATGAAGTAGGGTAAGGAAACAGAGTGAGGGAGCGGTGCTCTTCCTAAAGTCTTTTTTTTTTTTTTTAAGATTTTTTATTTATTTGACAGACAGAGATCACAAGTAGGCAGAGAGACAGGCAGAGAGAAAGGAGGAAGCAGGCTCCCTGCAGAGCAGAGAGCCCGATGCGGGGCTCGATCTCAGGACACTGGGATCATGACCTGAGCCGAAGGCAGAGGCCTTAACCCATTGAGCCACCCAGGGCCCCCCCTAAAGTCTTTCTAAGGATAGATGGCCAAAGGAGTCCCTGCTGTCGGCGGGAGGTGACAACAGAGCGGGTGGAGGGGGGCGGCTGGGATGTGCAGAGTGCTAGCGAAAGCAGCAAACAGAGGGGCTGGGGAATTCCTGGAGTGGACACCAGAGCTCAGAGTGCAAGTGCAGGCCATCCCCTGTGGCTTTTGACTTTAGTCTGTTCCTAACTCTCAGGTAGATGTGGGAGGCCAGTTTCCCAAGTGAGATCGACTTTTTTTTTTTTTTTTTTTTCCTTGCCGCAGAGCGGCCCACGGTAACTCGGCCTGTCCCCTGGGCTCAGTGGGCTAGAGGCCGGTGGAGAAGCAGGAAGGCAGGTCGGCCACACACCACCGCAAATACATTCCCGGGTCGACAGGAAGGACTTCGTATTATCTGCTGCCTGGATAGCTGCTTCTGTTCATTAGTGTAGATAATCGATCCGTGAGTGGAGCCGTATCATTCTGAGGTCTTAAAAAGTGCCATTTAAACCCCTCCCCCTCCTCCCACTCCCAGCTTCTCAGTGAACATAAGCGGCTGCGGTGGCTGTGGGGGCCGTTTCTCTCCACAGGCTACGCCAGCTGCGGCCGGCTGGCGAGGCCCTCCTCCCCCACAGACACTCTGCCTTGTTCCTCCAGACCCTGGCCTATGGGGACATGAACCACGAGTGGATCGGGAACGACTGGCTGCCCAGCCTGGGGCTGCCCCAGTACCGCAGCTACTTCATGGAGTGCCTGGTAGACGCACGCATGCTGGACCACCTGACCAAGAAGGACCTGCGGGTCCACCTGAAGATGGTGGACAGCTTCCACCGGTGAGCAGGGCAGCCTGGCCCTGTGGCTCTGTCTGCAGGACCACGGCTGCCTCTGGCTCTGCCTGTGGCCCGTGTGGGTGCCAACGGGTCTCCCCCTTGCAAAAGCCAGGTCCTCTTCCCATCCCTCGACGTGAGGGAGGATTTGGTCCTCTCCCCTCCAGCCCTGAAGACTCAGAAAGTCGTTCTTGCTCAGCTTCACATCCTTGGGGCTTTCCCTCCTAGGTCTGCCTTTCATTTCTCTGCCTTTGGGCTGCCCAGGTTTCTCTGTTTACTCTGGGAAGCCTCCGCCCAAAACCCGCTTCCTTGTCTACTGATTTCCTTCCAAGCTGAGAGGAAAGGTCTTTTTGGGCCCTGCTGCTCCTTGCATCCCGGATTGTTGCCTCTCAGCTTCGAGCCCGCGCCGTTTGGTACAGGATGCCATCCAAGGCTCTCCTCCCCCTTGCTGACAAGGTCTTCTGTTCACACGTGTCTGCAGCGGAGGTCTCCAACTGGCAGTCCGTGGGCAGACTTTGGCCCCACAATTGTGTTTTGTTGGGCTGACACGGTATTTTAAAGATTATGGATTTAGTTGCCAGTGTTTAAGCACTAGGGAATTTTCCACAAAATTCTGGATGTCTGGCTTCTCTTAAAAACTGGAAGATGTGTTGACACATTCTAGCGTGGGGACAGCTAGCTGGAGCTGGTGGCAGCCGCCCTCCTACGGCAGGTAGACACGGTCTCCAGATCTGCTTCACTCGCTGTAGACCTGCTTCACCATAGGAAGCACTGGGGCTGGGGAGCCCGGTGGGCGGTAAAATCTAGGGCTTGACCGTCGTTAGGAAGGCTTTTCAACACGTAGCTTCAAATCACACAGGTCGCTATTTCAGCCACGTTCTTTGTCTTTTACCTCTAATGCCCACAGCCACCCTGCAGGAGAGGTATTGCCCCGGCTCATGCGCTCTGAGTGCCACTCAGCTGGACAGTAGCGCAGCTGGTGTTCAGACCCAGGAGAATGAGAGGATAATGCGATGAATGTTGGGGCTGGGAGCGTGTGGCTTTTCAAGGTTCTCTTGGGAGTCTGCAGACGTTTCTCGGTCTCTCTGACTCATAAACCAGGGAAGGTTCAATTCGGAAGGGATCTAGCTGGCTTCCCCATTTCACGGGGAAGGAAACTGAGGCACGGGAAGGAGCATCAGGGATGGTAACCGAGTCCAGCCCTCTTGCCACCACTCTGCAGAGCCTGTGATGCTAGAACTCCCTATTGTGACCTCCCTTGGCACTCCCCAACCCCTTCCCAGGGCTGGAATCTCTTGTCTCTGTCCGGGAGGCTGCCAGGCCTTGCTGCACCTGTTCCCCCCTCAGTGATGGATAGGGCTGGGGAGAGGAGGGAACCCCCCCTGCTGAGCTGGGAGACATGCGCCTGGCGGGGGGGGTAGGGGATCAGTCAGCCCGGCCCCACCCAGCATTCTGGAGGTCCCCCTGACGACCCTCTGCCCAGGCCCCTAGAGAGTCTCAGCTCTTTTCCTTGGAACATTGTGTTCTCTTGAGTGGCTTTCCTAGAGAACTGGCTGTTTTGATAGGAGAACCCGCGCACACGGTCATCAGCAATGTTCTCCTGATCGTGGTGCCATTGCTGAGGGCCTGGATGCCTGGATGCTCCAGGGGCTAGACCGAGCCCGTCTGTGCACCATTCTCTGTGATGCTCATGGCAGCTCTGTGGGACAGAGGTGGCCACATCTCCATGTGCTGAGGGCCACCAGGCTGGGAAGTGGCACAACTGGCATTCAGACCCAGGCTGATCTGACTTTAAATTTTCGCCATGCAATGCAACGGCTTTGAAAGCCCTAGGAATTAGACAGAAAACGATAGCAAGTGGGATCAAAAGTAGACAGAAGGCATTTCCAATCAGGAGGTATGTGTGCACCTGCTGCCTCCAGTGGACCATGGCTTAAACCAGGGGCCTGAGCAATGACTGGTTGCCTTGGGCCAGAAAAGAGTTCCTAGAAGTGGTATCTGTGAGCTTCGAGGGCTTGTTCTAGGAAGCAGGGCTGCCTGGGGAGAGCTGAGGGGAGAGAAGGAGGGAGCAGGCAGCATGATTTAATTTCACAAGGCAATGGCCTCACTAATAGAGTTGGGAGGGAATGTCTTTTCCTATGTTTGATAGATGACAAAGCGCAGAGAGGCTGAATGACAAGCAGGTTCAAGGGAAGGAAGAACACTAATGAAAGGCGGGATGAGATGCCTCGGGAGGTAGTGAGTTCCCTGTCTCAGAGGAGCTCGAGCTACTCAGAAGGATTCTACACAGGTGTCGTCTGCGTGAGATGGGAGCTTGGGCTGGTGGTCCGTGGAGACTCTTCCAGCCTACAGATACTGTAGCGTCCTTCTGGCTTGTTAGGATTTATTGAATGCTTACTCTGCACCTGGTACTGGTTAGATACTCTTATTTCTGCGAACTATTTCATTTCCTTCATTAAGCATTTATGGTGTTTACTGTGTGCTAGGCATGATTCTAGGAGTTTGAGACATATCTGTGAATAAAACATGTTGCCCTCATGGACTTTACATTCTAACTGAGAGAGACAAACAAGGATCTATCCATCCATCCATCCATCTGTAGTGTGTGTGTATACATATATAGTATTAACAGATAAAAGGCAGTAGTAAAAAAATTAGACCAGGGTAAAGGGGATTGGGAGTATGAGCTGTGGTCATGATGGCAATGTTGCCATTTTAAATCAGGTGGACAGGGGGACCACTGAATGGAGAAGATGACATTTGAGCCAAGACTTAAAGGAGACGGGGTGAGCCATGCAACAGATAGGGGGAGGAATGTTCCAGGCAGAGGGAGCAGCTAATACAAAGGCCCTGAGGCACATAGGCAGGCAAAGTGTGCCTACTGTGTTTGAGGAAGAACACAGGGGTCCGTGTCCAAGGCAAATCGTGTAGCATGCATAGGTCACTGGTAGGACTCTGAGTGAAATGGGCACTCAAAGAAAGATCTGTGGGGATCTTTCTGTAGGGTCCTATCTGTATGGGTCAGGTATCTGTAGGGCCATTCCAGTGCCTAGAGAGTGGGGGGAGCTGTTGCTTCATTCAGGGAACTTTCTTTCCATCAATCAGACCCATACCCTGGCCGCAAGGGGGGACCCGGGGTGGGCAGAGGAGGGGAAGTGGCCTTGGGCTGGGTCACGTGTAAATCCTGGGAGGAGGAGCACGCTTAGGCTGGGGGCCCTTGCAGCTGAGAGACATAGGCCTGGGCGTGCCGGGGCTGGTGTTGGATGCGGGGTCGAGGTGGCAGGCATGTGGCCCCACGGAGACTTGGCTCGGGGGGCTCTGTGCCTGCAGAAGCAGTCTTCAGTACGGTATCATGTGTCTGAAGAGGCTGAATTATGACCGGAAGGAGCTGGAGAAAAGGCGGGAGGAAAGCCAGCACGAGATCAAGGGTAAGCTGGCCAGGCTCCGTGGCAACCTGTGGGGAGCAGGGTCCTGCCTCGCTGTTCCCTGCCCTGGGGGAGCGGCGGGGAGAAGAGGCATTCTCTACCTCGGGGAAGCTCCAGCTGCCAGTGGGTACTAGTCAGCCCCGGGCTGTGCGAAGAGGGAGACACAGTCCCGCCCAAAGGATGTTGCATCTGGTGGAGAAGAAATAGTCCTTGCTCAGTCAGCCGTGACCCCACCCTACCCCCAACAATGGCCACCAGCTGGACAAAGGCAGTGACTCCCCTCGGACAATGCTAGAAGCTGGTGTGGGAACGCGCTCGTGGCACTTGGTGATCTGGGCGGCAGTGGGCAGAAGAGAGGCAAGTCTTAGAAGACTCTTCGAAGGTGGAAGACTAAGAGGACCATCCCAGTCTGGGGGCAGGAGAGGGCCCACGCAAGGGCTCTGGGAGGACAGCCAGGAGCCGGCTGGCCTGGCCTTGGATCCTATGGGCTGGCAGCGATGGAGGGAGGTGGGGCTGGTTCCCTAAGAGAATCAGCCAGGGAAGACGGACGAAAGACAGAAAGCGCGGCAGACTGGCGCTCTGCGTCCAGGGAGCCCCATTTCTGTCCCTGGAGGGGGTGTGGCCAAACCTGTTGCCTCTTCCTGGTCCTTTTCTTGTTCTGCCCTCCAGATGTGCTCGTCTGGACCAATGACCAGGTGGTTCACTGGGTCCAGTCCATCGGGCTGCGGGATTACGCAGGAAACCTGCAGGAGAGCGGCGTGCACGGGGCCCTGCTGGCCCTGGACGAGAACTTTGACCACAACACGCTGGCCCTGGTCCTCCAGATCCCCACGCAGAACACCCAGGTGGGCGTCCTTGTTCTCAGTCTCAACCTCAGGCTCCCTGCTCTGCTCCACTCTTCGGCTCTCTCGCGCTTCCGTGCATGTGTTTATTGATTTGTTGGGGGACTGTTCTAGGGGGGCTGTTTCAGAGGGGAATCATGATGGCCTCAAAACTCCAAGTGGCCCCGGTGCATAACCAAGGCATCTAGGGAAAACCAGTGTCCTTCACATACAAAGCCCACCCAGCCCAAGCCCTGCCATGGACACTGTGGGCACCCCGCTCCTTCTCCCGACCCCATCTTCGCATTTGACACTCTGCGGCTATCTTTCCCTCACTCTGCTTTTCTGACCTTTTTCTTAGAGGGGAACTAGCCCTGGGGTCTGAGGGGATCAGAGAACCCACTGTCTCCTTTGTCTCCTGCCCTGAGGATCTGCTCCTGGGCCCCCAGGCTTGAGAAAGCTAAATATACCAAAGAATACGACCCAGAGCCTCTCCATGCCAGGGCTGTGTCTCCCTGTCAACAGCTCAAAAGATGAGATGTCTCCTTAAATTACATTTCATAATTATTATGGAGCTGCCATCCAAGACTCTATCTAAACTCTCTTGAACCTATTTATATGCTTGGCCTTTCTAACTTCCTGTGGGTGATGGACTACCTGTTGTGCAAAGTACTTCTGATTTTATTTGTCCTGAATCGGGGCTCCCCGCAGGGGAAGGGAGGGTGCTGTCTCCTCCTGACTGCAAGGGTTTGATCCAGCCTCACCTTTTGTCATTTCATCAACTTTGATTGTGTTGCCTCGGGGCCCAGGCCTTTGTCACTCCAGACGGAGTGGTCTTAATTCTTTTAGGCTTTCCTCATATAGACGCACCACTGTGCCCTGATCATTTTAGCCGCCCTTGTCTGGACTGTTTGCAGCTGTCAGGCCTCTTGAAATTCAGCCACCAGAGCCGCGCAAGCTATTCTGGGAGCAGATGCGTGTTGGCTCGTGTGAGGGTCGGCTGTGTCGGCTCATAGTTCTGCGGGGGCGTGGGGGTGGGGTGGGGGGGGTGGGTGAGTTGGCCTTTTGGACGTATCGGGTGCCATGCAGGGCCAGTGTGTCCCATAGGCCCTCTGCGGTGACCCCACCAACCAGTCAGCACGGAGAGCACAGATCCCCTGTTCTCTAAGAAGAGCCGAGGTCCCATGTCCCCTGTGGTTTTTCTGTATGTGCACACTTCTGACCTCCTCAGCTTTCTAGCCTGCTCCCACAGCTTTGGGAGACCTTTCCGAAGTTTTTGTCAGCTTCTCCCCCCACTGCCTGGAGGACCAGTGTCTTCCGGGTACTTGGACGTGGACTAAGCTTCTCCCTTCCCGTCCCTTAAGAGAACATTGCGTTCTCAAGACTGACAGAGGCGGTCCTTATGAAGCTCTGTGGTTGCCGTTTTCCACCCAGAAACAGGCTAGTTCTTCTCCCTTGTTGCTCTCCTGTCTCTAAATACGTCCGGGTTTTGTGGCCAGCAGTGCCTTTGCACAGAGCAGCGGGAGACCTCTCTGGTGCTTGCTGACCTTCTGGTTTTCCTGGCTGGTCCATTTCGCTCAGCTCTTAGAGAAAGTGGCTGCTGACCCGATGTGGAATTCTTCATCAGCAATGGTTAAAAGTATCTGGTGGCAGTTTCGAAAACTTTGTTCCTGGCATTTCCCAAATCTCCTGCTGAGTTAGGCTCTTGGGAGGCCAAGCCCAGGCCTATAGGCACTAGTCAGCCCAAGGGCCACTAATGTCTGTGCCTGAGCAGTCCTCCTGGTTTAAATTTTTGATATGGAACCGTATGAAATATGTTTCCTTAAATAAACTAAATCCTTATTTTCTGTGATCTATGTGCTTACTGCCCCTTCAGAAAGGGAGGAAGGCATGATTTTCCCATATAGACAGAGTGTGAGGCCACGTGCTCTGTGGTCCCACTTTGTACAAAGTTACAGTTTTCCAGTGTGCTCTGTATGAAAGAATCCTAAGGTTTATAGTTTCGCTTCCAAGAGTGCGCAGAGGTTTGTGTGAAGGTGCAGTATTGTGTGAAGGGCTCATGGGCTGAATGCACTGGATACTCCATCTCTGCCCTTGGGCCCTAAAGGGGGCAAGATGGCATAGAGGTCATTAACTCTACCCCTTCCATCTCTCCGCCTCTAACCCTATGGACTCCAGGCACGCCAGGTGATGGAAAGAGAGTTCAACAACCTGTTGGCGTTGGGCACAGACCGGAAGCTGGATGATGTGAGTACTTGGCTGTGAATTAGGGGCCTTTGGGATTTGGGCACTGTTGGTTCGTTGGGTTGAAATTCATGAGTTGTGTTCTCCTTGGGCTGATGATTGGTGGGTGGCCTAGGAGAGGAGAGCTGAGGGGATGAGGATGAAGTCAGGGAGTTGGGGGAGAGGTGCATGGCCAGGCCTAGAGGAGTCTCCATGAAACTCCTTGTACAAAAACTAAAGGCTTCTATGTGCTATATACTTCATCTAGCATCTTTCAGCTCTGTGCCTCACCACGCTCCTAACCACACAGGATCGGAGGCTCCCCTCAAAGGCCATCTCTTTGGGATCACACCTTTTTCTTCATTTCTCAGACCCCATCTCTCAGTGCCCTTGGTACAGCACAACTCCAGCCTGCTTCTCAGGATTCCCATCCCATGCTGGAGTGGTTGTTTGGAGGTCGGCATTATGCCGAGGTCCTTAAAGAAGCGTGTGCTTGCTCGTTTGGCCGTGGAGTTTGACGCTCTGGCCCGGACGTTTTTCAGTGCTGCTTCCTCTGCGGTTCTTCTCTTGAGTTAACTTCCAGCCACGTTAAAGTTCTCCTCTCCTGGCCTCCACACCCCCCGCCCCCGCCACAGTCAGTGAAAAGCCAACCTTTTCCCCTGGGTTTCGTCAGGCCTTTCCCTGAGTTTAGGTTGGACTGTGTCCGGGGGGCCCTGGGCATTCTAAGCTGTAATGCTCCCTCCCAGTGGCGATGCCTCGCAGAAGATACCTGTTTCCTGAAGAGGCAGCCCCCTCCTCAGCCCTCCTTCGCTCTTCCCTTCTCCTCCTCCCTTCCTCCCTACTCACTTCCCGATCACCAGCCTTGCCTGGCTTTGCCTGTCAGGTCAGGCTGGGCTGCCTTGGCTCCAGACAAGTTAAAAAAGAACCCAGATTATTTATTTGTAACATCTCCATCTTCAATCAGATCTGTTTCTTTCCGTGTCTCCAAGGACTGCGTAGCTTCCCTTTCTACGTACTCCTGCCCCATCCAGTGCCTCTGTTGACTTTTGGGCCTCTTTTTTGGGACACCCTTAGTGTCCCCTACATATCAATTAGTCTTTCTCAGTTGGGTTTAACAGGGCCAAAGGCCACCTTTGTGGAGTGGCTGTTCTGCTTCAGTAGCTAGGATACACTCAACAATACACAGAATTTGTGGAGGGGTTTTTCTTCACAGAGGCACCTTGAAATTTGGAGCGTGTTATTTACACACACATAATATATGTGTGTATGTGTGTGTGTATGTACTCCTGTCAAGGATATAAATTGCCAGACCCTACCAGCTGTCCCTGCTACCAGAGATCTTAATTTTGCCAGTGCCCCTGCTATGTGGACCCTCCTCTCATCCTCCACACACCTAGGATCTTAGATTTCTTTGATGCTGCTTAGAAAAATGACACCTCTACACATTTGCGTCGGGCTTTCTAATTAGAAAGCTATTTATTTCTTCAGTCCTTATAAAAATATTCTTTGAAGGCCTAATCTGGGCCAGGCATTGGCCCAGGCAGAGGGGTATAGTGGTGACAGACATCTCATTTTATGCTAACAGTCATCATGGGGGATGGGTTATTACCTCATGGGACTGACTGATGAGGAACTAAGCTCAAAGGGGTAGCTTACCTGCTGTCCCAGGCTGATGCATGGCAGAGGAGGGATGGAGCAAAAGTATATCTGAGTCCTGTTCTCTCCCCTACATCTTGCTGCTTCCTAGAAGCACGCAGAGCTAGCCAGCCTCTCTGGCTTGAGACATTGGGCTCAATATTGAGTAGATGATGTCATCTTGACAGCACAGAGGGATTTCTGGGATGCAGCTAGGTGTGGGGCTGCAGAGGACTGGTTCTTGCGGGAAGCTCAAAGTCAAGGTAATGGGAAGGAGGTGGGATTTGGTGATGGCGGGTGCAGGGGAGGTCAGAGATCCAGGGACACTGCTTCCTGGCCAGACATCTAGTACAGCCTCAGCAACCTTGAGCTGTCTCTTATACTGTTCCTCTGTCTGTTCTGGTTCTCAGTTTCCCCCTCTCAAGCTTCAAGGGTTGCATCCAATTTTCCCCCTACATGGAGAGCAGAATTCCAGGGGAAAGAGGAGGGGAGCAGGAGGAACATCTATTAGGGGACAGGTGATACAGACATAAGTCTTAGGGTTGGCTGAAGGTGGAAATGGAGGGGGAGAAGCAGGGACAGAGCGAGAGAGAGAAAGCGGGGGGGGGGGGCGGCGGAATGCACTCTGGGCTAGGTTAAGGGGAGGATCATGGAGTGGACAGAAGCAATGAGGAAGGTTCCTGATGAACTCAGGAGTGGGATGCCTGCATAGGAAGCCAGCTGCCATCCATTCATTTAACAAATATTTATTGAGGGCCTACTGTTCCCAAGCACTAGCTTTGCAGCTGGGAATATGTTGGTTGGAACAAAAAAGATCGTGGTCTCTGTCCCTTGGAGCATAGAATTTGAAAGAGGGAGAGCGTTGAGGGAGCGAGGTGGAGGGGAAAGGAGAGGGAGAGCTTATTGATATATCATAAGTAAATGGAAAAATGATACTAGGGTGAGTGCTGGGACAGAGGGCCATAGTGCCAAGAGGTGATAGGAGCCCTTGGCTTCCTCAGGGCACAAGCAGCAAACCCCAAGGGCTTGGGGCTGGGAGGGGCTGTTGAGGCAAGAACTGGTGGGTTAGTGTCCCTTGCTCCTCTGGCATCTCTCGGCCTGCCCCAGTTCTGACAACAGGGGTTGGTTTGGGGGTGGGGGGAGATTAGACATGGCTGCCAAGCAGGGTGGAAGTGGGCTCATCAGGGTGAACTGTGTGGAGGGGCCTCCTGTAGGGTTATGGCTCTGGGTGCCCTTTGGCAGACAGAGTTTAGGGACTCAGCTGGTAGAGGGCAGAGGCCCCTGGAGCAGCCTGCCTCTGATGGGCCATTCACCTGATCCATCACTGTCCCAAGGTGATCCACTGGATCCCACTAGGGACAGGCAGCCAGACAAAGAGATAAGGCAGATAATGTCCTTCCTATTTTACAGTAAGGGAAGCTCAGAGAGGTCGCTTAACTTGCCCAGGGACACGGAGCTAGTAAAATGGGTGCACTTCCAGCGCCTGGGGCCCAAGCCAGAGCGAAGGCAGGAGGGTTTGGGTGGGGGCTGGCCGCTGCCCATTTCCCACGGGACGGACGAGGCTGAAAGGTGGGGGCGGGGGTAAATACTTGAAAGGTCCGTGGGCATCTGCATCCCAGGTTGAGATGACGGGGCGGGCAGGGAAACAGTTCAACTGCAGGAGGCTGCCCGACGGTGACAGGTCGGACAGCGGAGACTGCACCCCACCTGGAGACGGGGAGCCTCAGAGCCTGTTAGGGCCCGCGGGAGTCGTCTCCCTCCTCCCGGTCCATCTGACAGCCGGACACCCGGGGTCCAATGGGCGAAGTGAGCCTGCACCCCGCCGCCTCCGGGCGGGACGGGCGCGGCAGCCCCAGGAGCGGCCGCGGGGGCCCTCCGCGCAGGCAGGGAGTGACGGCCCCCGCGTGTCGCGTGCAGGGCGAGGACAAGGTGTTCCGGCGCGCGCCGTCCTGGAGGAAGCGCTTCCGGCCGCGGGAGCCACACGGCGGCCTGCTCGGCGCCTCGGCGGAGACGCTCCCGGCCGCCTTCCGCGTGGCCAGCCTGGGGCCGCTGCAGCCCCCGCCCGCGCCGCCGAAGAAGGTCACGCCGGAGGGTGAGTGACGGGCCGCGCGAGGGGCCTGCGGGCGCCGCTGCACTAACGCTGCCGCCGGGCCGGCGGGCGGGCGGGCCCCGCCGAGCGCGCACTAACCGCCGCCCTGTGTTCTCCCGCGGCCGCCGACTCCTGCCAGCGGGGACGGCGGGCGCGCCGAGACTGGAGCCCTCCACGGTGCGGACCTACTCCTGCTGACCCCCGCCTCCCGCCCCGGCCCTCGCGGGGGTGTGCCCGTGGCGCGGGGTAAGTGGGCCGGCCCGGGCCGCACGCCCCCCGCCGCCGCCGCCGGCCCCCCACCCCGCTCGCGCGCGCTGCCCCCGCCTGGCTGCACCCCCCCCGCCGCACCCCGCTTCCGCCGAGCGCCTGGCGCTTTTGCAAGCTCGCTGCTCTCGCCTGCATCCCGGGGCTGGGGACGACGCCCCGCTCACCGCGCAATTCCTCTTTCTCCCTCTCTCTCTCAGCTCGCTCCCACTATCTCTACGGACACATGCTCTCCGCCTTCCGGGACTAGCCACGGCCCCCAGGGGCAGCGTCCTCCGGCTGAGTGGGCTCAGCCGGCCCTGGCCCCTCCTGCTCGTTCCCCATCTTCTTACAACTCCTGGTTTCGTCGTGACTTTCCAGTTGCCCTGGGCTTCAGAATATACTCCTCCATCCCCTCGGCATCCCACTACCCTGAGTCCCACCGTGTGCCCTTTGTAAGTCTCTTGTGGCTGTGGCTGGGTGTCCGGGTTGTCCATGCTTGGGATTCTGCAGAAGGGACTGGACGACAGCAGCCCAGGGCCGGGTGTGACTTCACCCTCCTTCTTCTGGACCTAGCCTGGTCTGGACTGTGACCTCCACCAGAGACCATGATGAGGTGCCAGGGACTAGGGATGGCCCTTCCAAGAAAATGGCACTTCAGACTCTGCCTTGCTCGGGCCGTGGGACCTTCCCGTCCACGTGCACATCCCAGCTGTCTGACATCTGGTTTCAGCACTCCCAGCATCACACCTTTCCCAGCTCATCTTCACCAGGGCACCTCCTGTCTCCAGGACCTCCTTGGGGGCGGGGAGGGGCTGCAGAAGGCCCCATTCTCTCTCAGGATGGTGAGGCTGGGGAGGAGAAAGGCTAAGGTGGTGATTCCAGGCCTTCGCTTAAGATGAAACCCAGATGTGATTTGGGGATGGATCTGAGAGAAATGGGCTCCTGAACTTTGAGCCAAGGTTAAGGACGGGGAAACTCTCAGCCCTCCACCCAGTGAGAGGTGCAGGTCGGCCAGCTGGAGGGAGAGCGATTGCCAGTGTCAGCCTTAAGCCTCAAAGGCAGGGGGGAAGCTATCCTGTCCTGCCCCAGCCTTAAGGTGTAGGGGGGGAGTTGCTGCTGGGGCAGGGCTGGTGGGGGTGGGGTTGTGTGGGGTCTTGGCTCTGGGGCAGAAGAGAGCTACCCGTGCACCGCCCACTCCATTCCCAGTATCCCCTCCCTTGCTGTTCTCCTCTGCCCCACCTCTTTAGTAATCCAGCCCCAAGAATATACACGATGTGTGGGTTGAAGATACATTGAGCTCCAAATCAGATTTGGGAAAATGTAGTGTGAAGCTTTCTTCTCCTGATCTCTTGGGAAGAAAATAAAGCTTCCCCTTCCGTGAGTCCTGTCCTAGGTCGAGGAAATCCAACTCTCCTGTTTGTCCCTGCATCACCCGCCCCTGGTTCAGGGCTCTTTTGGTGTGCAGGGACCGCCTCCTCTGGAAATTCCAGAGACACCCCACCCCCTCCACCACTGCCAGCCTCCATCATTTTAATTGCTTTCCTCAGCAGCGTGCTGGCAGCCGGGGCTTGGGGGTACAGGTCCCGGTTTGGTCAGAACGCCATTCCCAAGAAATCCCTCCTCCTTACTCACTTCCTCATCCTGCTAAAATGCCTGGAAGTGTTTGAGACCCAAGTTCAGGGTGAGTTGATGGACCCCAGTAAGAGGAGGGGAAGAGTAGTTGGAGCCGGTTTCCTGGAGAAGTGCCAGTGCCGAGCCGTCCTACAGGTGACTGAGCAGCTGGTTTGCAACCTGATCGACATGGGTTCTGAGCAGGGGCTCAGCTAGCAGGTGGGATAGTGGGTCCGAGCACCCTAGCCAGAATGAGTGATGGAGCCTGGGGCGATGCCAGGGCTTGGAGCCCTCTGCTGTTTTTCAGTAGAGAAGATGTCCACCCGTGCTGGGGCCGAGTGGGCTCCCGGGTGTGGGCACGGCACCAGCTGCTCTGTTCTCCCTCGTTGTTCCTTGCCCTCCCTGCTTGGCAGTTGACTGCAAATGGAGCTGGAGGCTTTCTTGAGCAGAAAATGAGTGGGATGGAGGGAAAAGGCCCCAATTCCTGGGTAATGGAGTTAAGATTATGGAGAACCCCTGGATTACTAAGATTGGTGAAGGTGGAGACCACAAGGCCATCTGACTGCTGGCAGGGGACTTTTGATGGACCAGCCAAGTGGGAGACTCAGCCCCAGCTTCTCCTCTACACCTTCGCCCTGTCATGGTTGCCCAGGTGCCTGGGTCTATTCAGGGTGTCCTGGGAAGTATTGGAGGGAGGTGAGGGGCAAGAGAACTCGCGCATACAGTGCTGGAAGGCTGTTGTCCTGGTGTCTCTCTTGCCTCACAGTCAGAGTATTTTCTACTTGGAGAGTTGTTGCCAGTGCCCTGAACGCCCCCCTCACCAGCCTTGTGTATCTCGTCGGTACCCCTCTCAGTACTGTACAGGCTCAGTGCATCAGGAGTGGCTGTGTGGGTGTGGATGAGTGTGAGTGTGCGTGTGTACGTACCAATAAACAACCTGGTTTTAAGACAGCCTACACGTGGCTCTGGTCTTCTTCTTCTTTTTTTTTTTTTTAACTTAGACTTCAGCAGACCTGTCCAGCTTCCTCCACAGTCCTCAGGGCTGTGCTCCTCTGGGAAGTAAACATCTGAGTTTTAAAGACATCAAGTCAGGAACCTTCTGTTTACTTTCATACCCATGGGACTGCTGGAGAAGCTAATGTTCAGGTTGCTTGTGTCAAGGGAGTTGAGGACAAGGAGTGAGGAGCCCCGATGCTGGGCTTGACTTCTTCCTCTTCTTCCTGTCTGCTCACACGGTCGAGCTCCACCCTCCTCCTGGCCTCCAGGGCCACTGTGCCCCTGCTCCGATGCCCCCTGGTTCACGCTGCAGCAGCCCTCGCTGCCTGTGGATCAGAGGACCATCCCCTCCACATGGCATGACGGGCTGCCTGTGACTGGGCTCCAGTGCCCCCTCCCTCACCAGTCTGAGTCCACTGAGTTCCAAAACGTCTGACCCCCAGCCCCATCACCAGAAGGCAGCAAGAATGCCTCTTGCTTTCCCTTTGCAGCGGCGAACCTTCCAGACCCACGTAGGGCATCACCGGGGAGGCATGGCCAGCTCCTCCCCAGCAGAATTACATAAGCAACAGCCCTTTGCTCCCTGGCACTCTGTACACCACCATGCTTTGCAGGCTTTCTCCTCGTCCGTTCCCACGGGGGCTGTGAGGAAGCCCCTTGGGTCTGTCTTATCGATCTCCTGATCCCTAGATGGACACACTCGAGTAAATAAATGAATCAATCGTATCTCAGGGGGTTTTTATGAGGATTATTATTAAATAAAGTAAAAGTTACTGGGAACTATTGTGTGCCAGAACCCATTTAAGTATGCTCAACGTATTAGCTCATTTAATTCTGCAGCCCTGTGATGTGTTTATTGGCTATTTTGCAGGACAGGAAATTGTAAGGCTGAGACCACACAGCTGGTAAGAGACAGATGTAGGTTCCAGAACTAGGCCTTCTGACTGCAGTGCCTTGTCCTCACTACAATATGTATGTTATAACTTCTGACTTAAAGCCAGGACTGCCTACCAAATGTTATTTGCTTCTCTCTCTCTCTTTTCTTTGCTTCTGTTTTAAGTGAGCTCAAGCCTCTGTCCCTTGGCTCAGCCTCCTCCAGCTCCCTTTCCCAAACCCACACTCATGTGTCACTTGGCTTCTATGGTCTTCTTTGGACTGTGTTTCTTCTGCTCACCTAAATTGTGGACTCCTTCAGAGCAGTGTAATACACCGTATCCTTCCCAAGGCTATCACTATCCCAGACACTGATGGCACAGAGTGGCAGAGTCCGTAGGCACAGGGGACAGGATGGGAGCCAGACAAGGCAATCTGTGACCCAGGAAGGGCACACAGAAGAGGGAAGATGCTGGCCTAGTGCCTGCAAGCCTCTGGGGGGGTCGCCTCCCACCCACTCCATGACCAAAGGTAGAACTGACCAGCCTTGGTGACCAGCTGGCTGCAGGATAAGATCCGAAAGAATCCAGAACAACATTTTTTGGACTGAAAACTATTTCCCAGTGTTGCCATCCACTGGGATGGGGAAGGTGGAAGGAGCAAGCGTGTGGGGAAATGTAGGTTTAGTTGTAGACATGCTGAACTTTCTGTCAATGTTTGTAGAAAAGAAAGAAGATTCTAGGTTTCCATCCTAGAACACTTTCCTTTGCCTTCCTTAGGAATGCTCCAAGCAGAGCGAGAGGCCAAGAGTCTGTGTCTTGTGGTTGCCTGTGGCTGGCGGGTGAGGTACAGCCACAATTGCCGTGGGGTGGAGATTGGGTGTTCCCACCCACGCCTGGGCTGTGGGTCCTTAGCCAAGACTCCAGCTGAACCTCGAAGCTTCAGTCCTTCTTCAGCTCTGGTGTACCACCAGGCATCCCAGCTCCAGCCTGGAGCCCAGAAGCCAGAAGTCAGACAAGTCCAAGGGATGGGACATATTGGTGATGGGGGATGGGACACGTTGGTGATATGGTTTATTCATGAAAGGGACACCTGATTTGAGAGGGCTCCTCTCTCAACCTCCATTGCCCTCTCCACCTCCCTCTCCAGCTGGTCCAACCAGCTACTACACCAGCAGCACTGAAAAGGTTTTCCAGTTTGCCAGATAGATGACTGAGAAGTTGGATACCTAAACAAACCATAGTATTGGAAACAACAGCTAGTCCTGGAAGCCTTCTGCAGTTCATGCTAATTAGCTAAACGCTCTGAGAAGTCCCTGTTTACACACAGACAACCAGTACGCCAATTCTTGAGTAATTCTTATCTTTACGTTCTAGAGGATTCCCTGAAGTCCATTATTAGGTAACATTTGATTAACCCGGTTTGATTCATTGCAGGTACTTCCACTGGAGACTGGATTTAAGCTAATTTCCCTAAAGAACTACCTCTCATTATTCATTAATTGGAGTCTTATCTGTAATTTAATTGGGAAGGCTAAGCATCTAGCTCGGGAAAGGCCCAGCGCGTTGATGACAGTTGTGTATTCTGTGCAAATAATGGCTGAGGTTGAGCTTCCATTTGCAAAGTTTGCTGTTCACACCTGTGAGATCCCAGCACCTTGTTGCTCTGGTGGGAGGCTTAAGGACTTAAAGACCAAAGAAGAAATAGGTAGACCATGGCCACTGCTAACAATGGTCGAGAATGTTGACCCTGATGGCCATTGCTGAGGACTGTTCATTTTTATCAGGCTAGGGATATGAGCCTCAGTTTCCAATTGATGTGATAAGTGAAGAAGAATAAGCTTAAAAAATATATCCAGCCACTCCAGAGCCTGTCAGCTGTGTAGCAGAGATGGGTACGCTTGTCCTTGGCTGCTCCTAGGCCCCCAATGAGAAGCCGGGTGACTGGTGGGATTGTATCCACCTGGGAGCTTGGGAGGCAGCAGGGACAGAGGAAATGAACTTGAGGGAGACCCCCGCCTCCCTTGAATGTGGAGTTCAGCGTTTTCGGTGGGTAGTGAGGGAGTGAGTGTAGATTCGAGAGCCAAGGTGCTGCACCCAGGCCTGTGGCCTTCCTCATCTCCAAGGGCAGTGAGTCAGGGGGTGCTGAGGGTCCTGCAAATGATGTAGGTATTCCTCTTCGGCCCTTTCAGAGAAGGTAAGACTATAAACACAGGACACAAACGCAAGAAGACCCCACAGATGGGGCAAATGAAGCCAGTCTGGGATTCCCAGCAGGCCCAGCTTTGACTGATTGGAGACAAATGGGCCCGGGGCTCCCTTCTGCACCCTCACCTTGGTCCGTGAGCCCAGAGCAAGTGCAGAATGGGTCCCAGAGCCTGGGGGGTCAAAATGGGCGAAGCCCATTGTCAGGGACCCTGAAGAATTGAGTGGGGGCTAGAATATATCACGCTCCGAATCCCCAGACTCCTGTAATGATTCTGAAACTTAAAATTTCCAGTAAATCAGGCAAATTTAGCCTAAAGCAGTTGGAGTTAATAAAATTTTTAGTAGATGCTCATGGTCCATTCAAATTCTAGCTTTTG